GTTCTTTCTTCTTGCCTTAGCGTGTCTACCATTTTTGAGGTGCTAATGGGAATGTTAGAGGTAGTCACCGGTGGAAGGAAATAGGGGATTAAAGCTTCCCGACGACATGTATATATATATATATATATATATATATATATATATATATAGAGAGAGAGAGAGAGAGAGAGAGAATTTAATTGATGTAGTGGCAACTTGTTGATTAGGAAGACTTCACAAGGTGACCCCTTAACTTTTCGCAAAGGGACATTTTAAATTCTAAAAATATGAATTCTTTCCCTTAGAATGCAAAAAAAAAACTCTTTAAATTAAAACATGTTAGTTGGTTGGGCTGCAGTGACAATAACCATATTTTAAAAAACTTTTGGGAATGGAAAAGTATGGAAAATAATAATTATTAGTTTTCGAAGTTCATTATAATTTTTGAAAACGAAAAATTTAGAAAAAGTTATCGAAGAAAACATGTTTTCAAAATTCATTTTTCTTGAAATTTTTTCTAAAAAACTAGAGAATTTTTCACAACCTAAACCATACTCGAAAATGTATCTTCAAATTTGATATGGAACCCATTAAAAAAAACTATATGTGTGAGCTACATAAAAGCAAAGTAAAATGAAGATCGAAGATACAACAACAAAAACATAATCAAAGTTATGAACAAGTAAAAAATATTTTAACAATATCCAAACTATCAAATGGTGATCTAGTGAACCAACTATCTTCGAGATCAATTTAGACCGTATATATCTCCCTTGTGATGTTTTCTTTGTCCAAAACCTACCCAACTTACCTACCCAACTTGCCTGGAATTTCTTCAAACACACATCTCACCTAGAATTTTTCTATAGAGTTTTTCTACTTTATTATATCATTAACCTCATGCGACTCCAAATTAACCTCAATGGGAACTTATCATATTTTTTCCCATTAGGGAATTGTTCGTCTTCTCCATAGGGTCTTGAAGAACAAAAAAGAGTTTGAAGCTTGTAAGAAGATTCAAGCTTTTAGTCTCACTTTTTCAAGAAATCAAGGAGATGAATTAACTTCTAATACTATTTGCTTTGTATATGTAGTAGTAGAATAATATAGAAGGAATGTATACAAAACCTTGATTTTTTTTTTTAATATATTTACACATAGGAATATGTTATCTAAGGTTGCGGCTACACAAACAACGACGATGGTTGAGTGGAGGGCGGAGTTGGTTATGGTAGTGGCAGGGGATCTGTTAAAGGGAAATTGAAGAGAGACCGAAGATGAAATGGTTCTGGTGTGTGTGTGTGTGTGTGTCTATGATGGCAGGTGATCGGAGGGGGAGGAGATTTGGTGATAAGGATACAAGGTGTCATGAATGAGGGAATTAGATGATTTCTATGTCACTTGGGTTGGTGGGTTATGTAAATGGATTTGTAATTTTCAATAATGTTTATTAATGGCTAAAAGTTAAATAAATTTTAATAATTAAAAATATATACAAGGATAAGATCGTCATTTTACTAAGGGCTAACATAAAAACATTAACGCCGTCAATAATAGCGATGATACGTGCAACAAATATATATATATATATATATATATATATATAGAGAGAGAGAGAGAGAGAGAGAGAGAGAGAGAGTTAGAGAGAGAGAGAACGATCCGAGAGCAAAAAAATAAAGATAGGGAAAAAATATGTAATTTTGACCAACCACATGGACGATTTCAATAATTACAATATATATTAATTAGAAAGTGAAAATGAATAGTAAAGAGTATGGTTTATCACAATAGTTTTAAGATTGATAGTTTCAGTCCCTAGTTTTTTTCGCTTTCAAAATTTAGCCACAAGACTTTTATATATTAACAAGTTTGGATTTTCACACTTTCACCACAAAACTTTCATATAATGGTAGCTTTAGTCCCTAGCCTTTTTGGATTTCAAACTTTGGCCACAAGGTTTTTGTATATTTGCATATTTTCTCCCTAAACGTTTGTAGTTACGCAAGTTCGATCCACATCATAGACTCCCCTCACTAAGGTAGTAACTTACTAGTTTGCTCTAATTTCTTTTTTCTAATAATAATAATAATAATAATAATAATAATAATAATAATAATAATAAATATCATTTAAGATTTGGTATGAACTAACCCAAAACAAAACCAAACCATAAGGATGTAGACTTAAAAAATAGAGGTAGAGCTAAACATAAGGACAAACATAAACGATAGAGACCATTGGTGGAATTACTGTTACTATTAAGTTTAATTAATACTCTTACTACATCCATAAACATCTCTTTTGATTTGATGCACCTTCTTCCACAGTTACACGACCTTTAGAGTGAGCTCATTTTGCTTCGATCTTGCATGGGCATTGCCAAACTTTTCTTTGGCATGAGGACGTGTCCATTCGTTCACATGGAGGAGGCGGATTTGTATTTTGATAAAGGGTTATGTGGGTCGATTGAGGACATTGTGGTTTGTAGGGGGTCCTTTCTTTAGGGACTTTTCAATGGAGACTTGCTTCAATACCAATTATTTTTTATGGTTTGCGGTTGTACGCAGCGGTAGAGGCTTCCTGTTATGCTTTTTTGGCCTCACAAGCTCAATCGTGGGTGTTACAAGACCACATCTTACGAGATAGAGACGTATGTGGTATGGATTGTGATTATGTTTGTGCTTTGGCCTGTGTTTGTGATTCGAGCTAATGAGGATACCGTCGCTCCAAAAGCCCAACATTCATTGGCAAGTGCCATTTTTAGTAAATTGTCCAATACATGGAAGTTCACTTCGACATGACTATTAGGCAGAAAGCAGTTTTTGAGTGTCTAAGGGCACCACATGCTTATTATGACTATTTTTATTGACGGTCTTAGCCAACATATGTCGTGAGTGGAATATCGTGCTATTCTCAAGTATCGCCTTCTGATCCCTTTGTTTCCAGTTGATGAGACATGTCCTGTTTGTCGCAAGGCATGCTTGGACTCCTTTGCAGAGCATACAATTCATTGTAGAGAGGTTTCGAGTTTCAAGTACAGACACACTATGGTTAAGGATGTTCTTTTTGACATATTTAGGCGCACCGGGGTTTCTGCCAAGAAAGAGGTACAGGTGAACTTTATGACTGACCCGTTGGAAGGACAATCAACACTTAGACTAGCCGATGTTTTAATTTTTAGATAGGATGAAGGGAAACATGCATGTGTGGATCTAACAGGGGTTTCCCCTATTGTGGGCTTCGAGAGTGGGGTTTTCACTGTGGGGCAGACTGCTTTAAAACATGCATCATGCAAAGTGGAAAAACACGAGAAAGTATGCATGAAAAACCAATACACATTTATACCTTTTGCATTTGATACTTTCGGTTTCCTTGTGCCAGATGGTGTGGAGCTCCTCAATAGAGTCCAACGGATCATACATAGTAATGTTATGTCCCAAAGATATATGAATGTTGTTTTTAAAAGAATTAGTTTTACTATCCAAAAAGGGGGTTGCGGTACAATTTGTTGCTCGTTTGTCCGCTAGGTGTATGTAAAACTTTTATGATAGCTAATTAGAATGAAGGTTCAGTTATGAAAAAATATTTATTTCGATGCAATGTTGAAAAAATGGTATTGATTTTTCCACAGATCTTTTTATACATCTACGGAAAAATATAATGATTTGACAATTATATCCCTATTTTAGTTTCTAGGTATCAAAGAGAGAAAGATTCTAGGTTTAGTGGAAACTCCGAATAACGGAATAACGCACGATGACGCTTCTTCTTCCTTCAGGTTTGCTTCTTTAGGCGGAAGTAACACACCACAAATACTACTCCAAACACCTATTAACGACCTCCAATTATCATTAGTTAAAATGTGTTTTTAATTTATGGGTTCAATTGAATGTGGAATATAGTTGTCACTTGAAAGGTGAGATTAACCAACGTGACAAGGGATGAATGGATGTTTGACGACAAAGAACGCCAAATCGAAGATATGAGCAGAACGGGGTCAAGACATTTCACGTGAGTAAAACACCAGACAACATAGATAGAAGCGATATTCGTGGGGGATTTTCAAACATTCGGCAAGGTGGTTGTATATACGGAGAAGAAGAAGAATGTCAATAGTACAAACTTTGGTTTCAACCGATCCACTGGTGTTGAAGACATATTAGAACTTGAAAAACTAGTGGATGGTGTGAGATGTGGAAGCAATCAATTGAAGCTTAATGTTGCGACGTAAGAGAATGTGTGGCCTCTCCCCCTCCTCTTCGCCTATCCAAACTATCTCACTCTCTCAAGTCCCTGCAACTATTATTCGAGAGTGCCTGAGAAAATTTACTCTCATTTACGAAGTCTTTAGCCTGGGACTTCAGATGTCTTGCTGCTGCTACTGTAGTGTTGGTCTTTCCCGGTTTGTAACTACAACAAATGATTCAATCCACATCCACAACATTGAAAAAGAAAGCAATATTTGTAAGAAACATTGGAGATGGTTGAAACATTAAATAAATCAATTAGAATACCAACAGGAAAACACATATACACCAATCGATTTTTGGATGAATGACGGGACGAGAGCGTCAACTTTTGGAGCATACCGACGGGAAGTCTAGATCAAAGAGTGGGAGGAAGAAGCATGTTGTATAAAGAAGGCTAAAGAAACATCAACGAAAGAGGAAGGAGGAATAGCCTCGTTTGGAAATTACGTTTCTCTCTTTTCATTATTTATTAATTAAACTTAAGGGTATAAATGTAAATATATAATGTTTTCAGTGGAGGAATGAAAAATATACGACGAAAAATCGCGACCCTAAAAAAAATATCGGATATGGAATTATTAATTTCACATGTCCACCTGTTATTTGCATTCGTCAACGACCAATTCCATGCATAACAGAGACATAAACTATTCCCGCATGTTTCTTCCACTTAAATTAAAAGTATAATTAAAACTAAGAGTTTGAGGAACTTCATTAGTCTCCTGCATTCTATTCTTGAAAATAGCCAATACCCAATTAATCCGATCTTCGATGATAAAAACTTATTCTCTGAAAAGAGCGGAGCAACGGCGGCTAAGCCTCAGTCGCTGTGCCAGATTCCATGTCTTATCCGCCATCTCCATTGCAGCAATATTTTTCACCTACATATTAATTACTACACATACCCTCCCTTCTAATTATCATCCTATTCATACTTTACCTCTAACCATAAGCCCAATTCATCCTCCTCTTTTAAACAATCCGACGTTCATCGTACGACATGTAAAGTTGACTTCGTATTCCATCCATAAACCGATCCGCATGTTTAAAGAAGATGCTCAAAAAACTGTTTTAGAAGATGATCACAAGCCGTCGGTTTCACTATTCAATCACACCAGGAAAGAAAAGATAAACGGTTTCAAAGAAAAGCTTCCTGAGTTCGATATTCTCAAGTCAACCCCGTTGACTCGAAGATTCAAGAACCGGGTTCAAGAATTCTTTAAAGATGGATGCAAGGTTAGGTTCTTTATGACCTGGATATCACCATCGTTGAGGGTTTTTGGAGATAGAGAAGTTCTTGCTGTAGATGCTTTGTTGAAGTCTAACCCTAAAAGCTGTTTGATGATACTATCAAACACTATGGACTCCGTTTATGGGATTGGAATCTTGAAACCATTCACTGATCGTGGGTTTAGAGTTCAAGCGATCACGCCAGACTTGGAGTTCCTGTTCAAGAACACCCCAGCACAATCTTGGCTTGATCATATCAAGAATGGGAAAACAGAAACTGGTACAATTCCATTAGCACAGAACCTGTCAAATTTGATCAGACTGGCTATTCTTTACAAGTATGGAGGTGTTTACGTGGATACAGACTTCGTCATATTGAAAGATTTTAGCAGTCTGCGCAATTCCATTGGTGCACAAAGCACAGCCACGTCTGGGAACTGGACTAGATTGAATAATGCTGTCTTGATTTTCGACAAGAACCATCCTTTGTTATACAAATTCATGGAGGAATTCGCATTAACATTTAATGGCAACAAATGGGGTTATAATGGACCTTACCTCGTATCAAGAGTGGTCCAAAGAGAAGCTACAACACTCGAGTTGAATTTTACGGTATTACCTCCAAAGGCATTTTATCCAGTTGATTGGACACGTATAGGAGGCTATTTTACACCTCCGGTAAACAGGAAGCATCTTAGATGGATTGAAGCCAAGTTGGGTCAACTATGCAGTTCATCTTATGGTGTCCACCTCTGGAACAAGCAAAGTCGTGGATTGAGGATAGAAGACGGAAGCATCATTGCTAGACTGATTCTTGATCATTGTGTCATTTGCAATACAAAATAACAACAGTTTTTGTATCAAATGTAACTCCGTTTGTCTAAATGATTAGAATTTATTTACCATAAACAGAACGTGATAAGTTCCATTCTTTTTCTTTAACTTGCATGATATATAATCAAAAAAGAAAAGGCATTAATGTTCAATCGGTATAGAATTCATGATCTTTCTGGCCTATATAGTTTTCGGAGTTTTCGGATGAATATGTATTACAAGTATATATAAAATGATTATATGCATATAAAAGGTATGCTTAACTGCTTTTGATTAATATTTTTTGTGATATATCCTATCATCATTGTATACAAGTTTCATCTTAAACAATTATCCTGTTTGTAAAAGGATAATTTTTTTAGTTTAATGTTGAAAACTGATGTATAATGATGATGACATCTCAACCTTCATACATTTATTGTATGCCACTGATCAGAACCAAGTCTTCAAGCTAAAAGGAATAAAATTAATAACTTATTGCATGTGTTCCAAATAATTAAATAAGTGTTGGAAAGGTTCAACGTTCCGAGAGATTTGTGCTGAAATTTTGAAATATTGTATGCAAAGGGTATACCGGTGTAATGGATTCTCCGAATAAAATTCATCATATAATCATTTGATGCATATTATGGATCCACCAATGATTTAAATTGGCTATAGGACCCTGCCACATCATTTTTTTTTATTCCATGTCATTTTTTGGCTTGCCTACCATCTTTTCGTTAGAATTTCATAGGGAGTGGTAGTACTCCTAACACTTCTTGAATTTTTTTTTATCAAAATTAAATTAATTATATCCCCTATTATAATAAATAAATACTAAATCGCCAAGTGTCACTCTCCCAGCCCCTTAAATCAAGTTTTCCCGCTTCTTTTATTCAACTGAATTTACATCAATGCCCTTCAATTCCTATATATACATGCAATAAATCCTCCCTAATAAATATAGATCTTTTGGCACATGTCACATTCTCATTTATTTTGCCACATGTAATTTTGTGGTTTTTTTAAATTAATTTTTATTCCACATGTCATTTTATGGTTTTTTTCATTTTATTAAATTCCAAATTGTATTTAAATGCAGTAATAAATGTATATCAATTTAATTAATGAACTTTCCTTCTAATTTCAAAATTACTAAATTAAAGATTTATTAATTTTCTTTATTTATTTATCTAAATTATTTGTTTAAATTTAAATGAGAAAAAAAACATTTTAATTTTTATAATTCAATATTTTCTTACTTTTCTTATAAATTCAAACTTCTCAAATGTTTAGAATTTTGTATTTAGTTTTTCTTTTAAATAAACTCATGTAATACATGGGTCTCACACCTAGTATATATAAATATGCAAATTATATGCAAATAATATGCAAAAATCGGTAATTCAAATTTCAAATACGTGATATCCGCTAAAATAAGGAAGTTCATTTTTTGAAATTGGAAATTGATTAATTTCCAGTGATTAAATCCCAAAAAATTTGCACCAAATAAATGCATACTGAAATATATACCATTATACCATCTATACGCTTTTGTATCCACGATTCTGCTTTAGAGATTTCTTTGCAAACGGTATTCTTCTTCAGTTTTTCTTCACTATACATTCTCAGTTTTATCTGTTTTAACATAAGTTATTCAATAAATCAAGTTGCTAACATAAATTATTCATTAAATCAAGTTGCTAACATAAGTTCTTCAATCCCTCCTGTCGGTACCAGGATTAATTTCCTTGATTTTGTGATCGTTTCCTGCATAATCATCCTCGACGACACCAACAACTACACAAGGTTAGAAATCTGAATTCCTGTGCAGTCTTTCTTTTACAGCGCAATCTGAATTCATGCATTTGTACAATGTCGATAATTGGATATATTTTTCAGAGTTTTCATGTTTATGTTCTTACTTCTTCCTTTTTAAGAACTCTACATATTTAATCTTATATTGTTTCCTTTTAAATAAATTTCAATTGATCGTTTTTAAGGTTGTTTCTAATTTAAAACTACATGGTCTGCTTTATATCTATTTTGCAAGTCTAATTAACCATCTGTGGCAAAAGATCACCCTCAATAGATAACATTATATAATAATGGTATCTGTAGGGACCAATTATGTAACGTTTCAACGAATTTGAGTTTTTTTAGATTAAAAAAATGTGCTATATGCCGTATCATATTTACAGAAAAATATTAAATGAAAGATTAAATTTATATAACAGATAATATTATATAATATTTATATGTAACTGTTTAATTACTTATTGTTATCTTATTGGACAATTTGTTTACAAAAATGACAATTTGTTTAAATAATGTTATCTGTAGGGACCAATTCTGTAACATTTCAACGAATTTTAGTTTTTTTCAGATTAAAAAAATATGCTATATGCCATATCATTTTTTTTCAGAAAAATATTAAATCGCAGATTAAATTTCAGATTTTTATTTTTCATTCTGTACATTAGGTGATTGTATTTTTTTAGATACTTTCATTTATGCTAAATATACTAAATCGCAGATTAAATTTCGGATTTTTATTTTTCATTCTGTACATTAGGTGATTGTATTTTTTAGATAATTTTATTTATGCTAAACATGTTGGACATTGACCATTTTACTATGTATTATTTTTCATTCTGCTATTTGGTTACATTTCAATATGCTTTCAATTGTTTGCAGGAAATGAATATTGGTAATAAAGTTTACCTAAAAAATACTGAACAAATTGATGATGATTCACATATAAAAGTGCGGGTGCTGAAAATGTGGAACTTTATCAACAATAATACGGTTTTATCAATTGAAATGATCGTGATGGATGAGGAGGTTTGTTGTATTTGTTATCTTTTTAATACCCCATTCAATATTACATATGTTTTAACCAATAAAATAATTGTTATTTATTTAATTTAACAGGGTACAAAATACAATTCTCGTGTTTTCAATCATAATTTTCCAGATTTGATGATCTTTTAAAGGAAGATCAAACTTATATCATTTTAAAACCCAATATGGCGGCTGTGAATAATGGTTTTAGTGCTACGCGTCATAAACAAACTACAACTTTGAATTGGAAAAGTATTCTAAAGAAATGTGAGGATTTTTCAGGACCGGTGAATGGATTTATGTTTGTTGATTTTAATTCTATTATTGAACAAACATGCCCAAGAGACGTATTCTTTGGTTAGTTATTAAATTTTATTCCAATCACTTTTATAACTTGTGTATTTTATTATACATTTTAGTATTTGATTATTTTAATATTTAACTTAATCTTACTTATTATATTTTATTATACTTGTGTAGATGTTTTTTTTTGAAAGGGAACTTCCCTAATGAGGGCTTCCGGGCCAGCTTTCGCGCACCGACTAATCCCCCGCTGCAAACATGAAGCTTTGCCTCATGCTCTGGAGGCACTGCAGGCGAACCTCCATGGCCACAAGGGATGAGTGTGTAGATGTTATTGGATAAATTGTCTCATTTCGGGCACTTGAAACATCAAATCCTAACCCATCCAAGCATTACATAAATATGACTATTAGCAACCTACAATGAGCTTATATTTCTTTTATTTCTTTATTATTTTTAATCACAATTTATTCGTAATAACTAATTTAATTTTTTATTTAGATCTGTACATCTGAAGGTCACTATATTTGGAACTCAACCATACCAGATGTCACAATACCTTAAAACTAACCCCACGATCACTTGTGTTGTTATAGTGATGCAGTTTGTAAAACTTAACATTTGAGATGGTTTGTATTCACACTTTATATATTTTTTTAATTTATTTTTATTGACTAATTTATTTTTACAGGAATTGGTCAAGTCAAAAGTTATTTTGATGTAACCAAGCTTGATGCATTCATTAAAGACTTAAGGGAGAATCACATTTTCGGCAAAGTTCAAGCATGTAATTCAAACTATATTTTTTCATTATTTGTAAAACATTACTCTTATTATTCTATATTTTTTATATGTTTTTACAATCTAATCATATCTTCTTTTTTTTGCAAATTATTTTACAGATGTTTATACCATTGAATTTCAAAAGAGAGGTTTGCCGCATAGTCATATATGTCTACTTATGCATTCTGACAACAAGCTACCAACTGTTGAATTTATCGATCCGATAATTTCCGCCGAGATACCAGACAGAATTGAAGAACCAGAATTGTATTCACTTGTGAATGAGTTTATGATTCATGGTCCATCTGGAGCTGAAAATATCAGTTGTCCATGCATGGTGGATAAAAAGTGCTCTAAAAACTTTCCAAAACAATTCTATAATCATTCTTCTGTTAATCAAAATGGTTTTCCGTAATATAGGTGTAGAAACGATGGTCATTATGTAGAAAAATCGGGTGTCAAGTTGGATAATATAAATGTTGTTCCATACAACAAATATCTATTGAAAAGATATCAGACACATATTAATGTTGAATTATGCAATCAGAGATCTTCTATAAAATATTTGTTTAAATACATAAACAAGGGTCCTGATAGAGCGACAATTGCTGATGTACGAGCCAACAATGAATGTGAAAATAATGATGTGGTCGATGAAATAGCTGAATATTACGATTGTAGATATTTATCAGCATGTGAAGCATCATGGCAAATTTTTAAATATGATGTTCATTGCAGGTTTCCTTCTGTGGTCAGAATACCTTTTCATCTTACTAATCAACAACATATTGTATATGGCGAAGACGATGATATTGACGATGTTCTGGACAAACCTTCTGTTGCTGCTTCAAAGTTCACATTTTGGATGGAGTGTAATGCAATTGATAGCGAAGCACAAGAACTTACATATGTTGAATTTTCTACAAAGTTTGTGTGGATATTAAATGGTCGGTTTTGGAAGCGAAGGAAAGTAGGAAAAGCCATTGGTAGAATTCATTCGGTTTCACCTAATCTTGGTGAAGCATATTTCTTAAGGATTCTTTTAAATAAAGTTAAAGGTCCGACATCATTTGATGAAATTCGCACGGTAAATGGCGAAGCACATTCTTCTTTTAAAGATGCTTGTTATGCACTCGGCCTATTAGATGATGACAAGGAATACATCGATGCAATTAAAGAAGCAAGCCATTATGGATCTGATTTTTATCTACGCTTCTTATTTGCTACATTGTTGATGTGTAATAGTATGTCTAAACCAGAGGTCGTTTGGGAAAATACATGAGAATATTTGGTCGTATGTTTTGCGATAACTATTAATAAAAGTCAAGGACAATCGTTATCAAAGGTTGGTTTGTTTCTCAAAGATCTTGTTTTTTCACATGGGCAATTGTATGTTGCCTTATCTAGAGTTCAAAGTAGAGAGAGATTAAAATTATTAATTTTAGATAAAGATGGTAGACCCACAAATAAAACTTTCAATGTTGTTTATAAGGAAGTTTTTCGCAATTTATAACCGACTTTTTTGTAGCATCTTTTAGTCATTTTTAGCAAATCACACTTAATCCATCATATTACTTTATTTATTTATAATTACGTATTGTATTTTTTTTATGTTAATTTCATTACACACATGGGTAAGGCATCATCTCCGTATGTTCAACGATAATCATACACCAAAAATCAATGTTTTATAAATCTTCATTTGTAATTAAATACTTACAATTTACTGTATAATTAAACACGTACAAGTCACAAAGTTATTAAAATATGCAATATTACAATTCATAATTTTTCTAAATTAATGAAATATTATTTTATTACATAATTAATTTTTAAATTCAATTTAAAATTAACATCCGTGGGCTCCACGGGTTTTAACCTAGTTCTTTAATACACAAACATTTTATATTAAATAAATTATATGTTTATAAAACACAAAATTTTAATATTAAATAAAAAGGTATCTATTTTTACACAAAAAAAAATACTAAGTTGCTGAAACTTTAAGGACCAAATGTGTAACTTCTTTATATTCCCCTTTAATTCTTGTTAAAAGAACGACAACTTTATCTTCTCCAATTTTCTGGTTAAAAGAACACAACATCAACAAAAATAACCTATTGAAGCTTGGACTATCGTCCATTGAAGGCTTAAAATCACCCAGGTTCATCATCTTTCTTATTAAAGTTACTGAAATCGTCCCTATGGTTTGGTCAAAATTACACGTTCGATCTCTAACTTTTTTTTTTGCACTCGGATCGTCTATGTGGTTTGATTTTGTTACGTTTTTGTCCCTATAGTTTGGTCAAAATTACACATTTGGTCCCTAACTTTATATATCCTAACATATAATCCAGACAATAAGCACCTAATTCACATATGACTTCCAACAAATATTTAATATTTTAATTAATACTTGTATTAAATCATGTTCATGAAAGGGACTATGCACTCACTTGACAAAATGTCTGGTGATTGGTGAATTGGGCAGAGCTTCGTCTTACACCTTTTTCCAAAGGACCTAGATGTACATAATGCTAAGTCTTAGTCTAATTTCATACTTCATGGAACTATTATCCTAAGGATTCAGATTCCTCAACAATCCCAAAGTCTACTTCAAGATCTAAATAAGGAATAACCAGGTAGGATCATATCGGAGGTAGGGTTTGTATGGTATACAGAGTATACTGTTTGGAAATCCCACTTTAAACATCTCACTAAATCCAGCCTAGACATCACTCCCATAGTAGATCAATCAGTATAACGACTTGGAGTTACTAATAAACCTTAATTATAGATTCATAATAACGACTATGACTATAATTAAAAGTTACACTTAACATGAACTAAGTGTAGCTTAATTTACAGAGGTTCTTGATGAAAACCGGAATCTAAGCGGGCATAATACTGACTCGGGGTTTTCTACTCAAAGGCTATTACTCAGATGAGTACTCAGGGGTGTTGTAGGGCTTCACCGCAGGTCAGAAACAATAGAAAAATGGCTTAAAAGGTAAGATCGCTCGAGAGAGAAGTGTGTAGGGGTGTGGAGGTGAAAGCATATACAAAGCTGGATATTTATAAGCAAGAAAAACCTTGTGCACCGCGTACTTTAAGTATGCACGCACTAGGGCCTGGGTGGCTCCATTGGGCTTCTACCACGTATCGCGTCACCATTCGCCCACCCCGCCCCCTTCTAGAAGGTGACACGTGCCACACTCTTATGGAGCCACGTGTCGCGTTATTGTGGGTCCACGTTGACATTTCTCTCAGAGGAAGTGGCTTCCGACCATGCCACGTGACGTCCTCTCATGGTGCCACGTCATGGGTGTGCGCTGCGCACTTCGTGCGTGCGATTTTCCATATTTTCAAAAAGTCGTATCTTCTTCATACGGGCTCCGTTTTCGATGTCTTTTATATCCCCAGAGATGAGATCTACAATTTTTATTTAGACTTCGTCAACTAATTTTGACTTTATTTTTAAAGCTATATTTTTAATAGGCTTAGACTGTTGAAGACCGTTAAAAATTTATAACTTTCTCATATGATATCCGATCTCAACTGTCTTTGTATCGACGGAACCATATGGACGAGATCCTCAACTCTCATTTAGATTGTTTTTACTAACAATAAACTAATCTCTACTTCGGTTTCTGAGTTGTATACTGTTGCGCTGAAACTTCGAAAAATCATAACTTCCTCTTATGAAGTCAGATTTGGACATTCTCTATATGCACGCTCTCGATTTAACCACTACTACGAGTTTAATTTAGATCACTTAGGCTAAAAAGTAATCTATCGAATTATCATTTTTTACGATATGCAGAGTCGTGCCGGTTTAATCGCGAAACTTCGAAGAAGCATAACTTCTTCATAAAAAGTCGGATTTTAGCATCTTTGTATGTACGGAACCCTTGTCACATACACTGTAACATTGGTTAAGGTTATTTATCCTAAATAATCTTCTATCAAAAAGTTATTTTTAATGTTAAATTTGTCTTAATTGACTAGCTCGAATCTGCGGGCGTTGCACGTGGCTATTGTCCGATGAATAACACAGAGTTGTGTAGTACCATGGCATGGCAGCCTATTTGCCATGGCGTGGTGGCCATTTTGGTGCAAACCCTAGATCTCCGTGTGTGTACCCTATTTAAGGGAACTAACTCCTCGGGCTGCCTCATTTGGTAGTCTCCATCCTTTGAAATCGATCCCCACCCCAAAACTATGACATCCCCATGTTCATGGCCAGAAAAGACCGGTTTGTTTATGCTTCATTTTTAAAATCAGAGTATACTTTTAAAGAAAAGTGTTGAGGAATTTTTGTTCCCAGAAAAACATGATAAATATGTTATCAAAGCATTTCCGAAGAAATGTATTTTATTCATTTTAAAACTTTGGGATGTCAACGTCAATACAGAAACATAAGCATAAACAAAACTTACATTCATTTACACTAGTGATCTACATTTCTTTAATCTCTCAGTGTAGTGCAGCTTTATATCGACACCTGTGATACAAATAAACTGAGTGGATCAGGCTGGGAAACCTGGTGAGTACATAGGGTTTTCAACCCACAATAATATAATTATTATGTTTAATCATCAAACAATCAACCTGGTTACCCATCCCCATTATCTTATTTTTTCTTAAGGATCTACCCTAAGAATCAGCTATCCTTCATTCATTCATTCCTAAGGTTTATCCTAAGGAATACGCGCGAAGTCCATTACTACGAATGTCATCTATTAGGCACAGCTGCCAATATTATCCTTTAGGCGCAACTGCCAGGATTGTGATGTTCTCAACTAGGCGTAGCTGCCAATATCATCTATTAGGCGCAGCTTCCAATGTTATCTTTTAGGCGCGGCTGCCAATATTATCATCTAGGCGTAACTGTCGGGATTATGACGTTCTTTAATAGGCGCAGCTGGCGATATTATCCTATAGGCGCATCTGCTAGGATGTTTAGAGTACATCGCGTTTCAAAATCATCTACAGGTTGTGGTGCAGCTACCAATATTCATCTATATCATCTTTCATACCTCATCATTTATCTACCCATGTTCTACCCAACATTCTTGTAGATATAAAATACATCTATAGCTTTAGATTTGAAGAAAAAGTTCAGATCTGAAAACAAAATACATCTACTGTCCAGATCTGAAGAAAAAGGTCAGATCTGTAAACAAAGTACATCTACAACATAGATCTGAAGAAAAAGAAGTTTAAATCTTTCATCTAGCACGGATCTCAAGTAAATATGCACACATAGCACGTAATTTATATAAAATACTTCATATCTATGTGTAAGATGAAAGTAACTATGCACTCACCTGATCAGGAGTGATTCGGACGGCACTTCACTTCTTAAAACAATCTTCTTTGACGAAACCGGGAGGTTTGCTTGAAAACCGGGCTCTGCGCTGGCAGAGTTTCAAACCGAAAAACTCTTTTTCTTGGAGCCTTCGGGCTCTCCGGGGCTTTCTTCTAGTGCTAGGGAGGTTTCCTAGGCTTCGGGGGTGTTTGGGAAGTTTAGAGAGAGAGAGTATAGAGAGAAAGTGATGGCAAAAAGTGTGTGTTTTGTAGCTGCCTTCGGTTCCCTTTTATAGGCGCTGAGGCCTCGGTACGCTGGGCGTACTCTTCGGAGTACGCGGGGCTTAGAGGGCACGCGTCGGGAAACCGGTTGGGTCATCGTGGCTCACTTTGGACCACATAAGGGGGAAGAATGCACAGCGTAATCCTCGGTGTACGCGGGGCGTACTTCGGTACGCGAGGCGTCCGAAGATACACTGGGCGTAGTCCTCGCATCCAGCTTGCATTTTACACCTTCAACTTCTAAAATTCGTAACTTTCACATAGGACCTCCGTTTTTGACGTTCTTTATATCCACGCGTAGGTGAGACCGAACTCTACAACTTTCGTTTAGACTCTGTCGGCTAATTTTGAGTCTATTTTTAAAGTTATATTTTTAACAGGACGGGACAGGAAAGGTCCGTTAAAAATTCATAACTTCTTCGTCCGACGTCCGTTTTCGTCTGTCTTTTTACCGTTGCGCTACTAATAATGAGATCTTCAATTCCCATTTAGGTTGCGTTGGCCAAAAAACCGTTCGATCTAAAATTCGAATTCCGGGTTGTGCACTGTTATGCGAAATCTAAGAAAAAATCATAACTCCCTCATACAAGGTCAGATTTGGGCGTTCTTTTTATGCACGCTCTCGTTTTAACGAACACTACGACTTTCGTTTAGATCGCTAAGGCTAAAAATCACTCTATTGTAAATTCA